GACTCCACTCCCTCTTTCAAGTAGTTTTAGAGTAGGCGATCTCCGGTTTCTTCTCTAAAAGCAACTTGTTTTTGTTCGGGTGATTTCTCCAGTTCCCATCGACAGATTTTCGTGTGGGTTGGAAGAGGAGTCCCTCCTGGCCCCGTCCGCCCATCCTGCACGTTTGGTGCAACAGCTGGTCTCTGCTAGTGAGAACGCGTCCGTTGTTGCATGTCATGTTCGTGGATCTCCCCCGTTCGATTGATTCACCGAACAATCAACCCCCCCCTTTTCTTACTTCAGGACCCCCACAGGTCGTCAACAACGACGCACCCCACACGACGCGAAGAGTCACGTTCAGGTCGACGATGCAGATGGCTGGTTTGCACCTCAATCTACTGCATCTATCTCCCGAGAACCATGCGTGGAGCGTTACTTTGAGCGGCGTTATTGCGAATCAGGGAGGGGCAGAGCAAATGTTACATCTACTTCTCCTCAGGAACGTGCACCGACAATCAATACCAAAGGGTTCTTGTGCACAATTTACTACGGACCGTTCCAACCATTGGCCTCCATTGTACTTCTGTTTTGACGGGTAACATACCCTGTCGCCCCGGTGTCTAGTGGGTAGCCTCGCAGCTTGCTAAGGACCAGCCAGGTCATGGGTTCGAGTCCCGGCAGAGTGAGTTTCTTTCTCACTAAATCAATCGTGGTCTAGGATGAAAGCGATGCGTTGCAAAGCTCGGTGTTAGTGAACCATAATCTATTTCGTACGTCGCGACGGAAGGGATTGCTGTACCCTTATCGCGATAAAAATACCTCAGGCAGGAACCGCAGGAGTTGGTCCAGCCCCCCTCTCTTATGTGACCCCGGTTGGGTCGTCTAGCTAGTAGAAGTGGAGGATAGGGGCCACAGGGGCAGACGATAGAGTCCAATGATGGGAGAAAAAAAAAAAAACCATTATACATTACGCTTCCGACAACAACTTTACTGGGCGGACGCACAACAGATACTGCATCAATGTACTGACTGAGAACCATAAAAAGGCAGACAGAGCAGAAAGCACACACACCATACGCAGAGCAACACCCTTACGTCCCGTACGTCGTACCTACCCCATACCAAGTTATTTTTTTCTCTCAGACTGTCGACCATGACCAGTCACCTACTTCGCAACAACGGATCAACTCTCCTTCCAGGCTGTCAACGACAACGTCAGGTTACCTTACCATTAATGTACTGACTGAGAACCATGAAAAGGCAGACAGAGCAGAAAGGACACACACCATACGCAGATCAACACCCCCACGTCCAATACGACGTACCTACTCAACACCAAGTAATTTTTTCTCTCAGACTGTCGACGACGACCAGCCACCTAGTCCGCAAAACGGAATAACTCTCCTTCCAGACTGCCGACGACAACGTCAGGTTAGCGTACCAACCATCGTCGTAGCTCTCGCTATGGTTATCAACTACTAATTGACGAAATACTGTACATACTCAGCACGACTGACTGCTGCAACCATAATGAGTGTAACGGTCACACGCCCTGCTGACCTTCTATCCTCTCTCACCGATTGCAGGCATCATGTACGCAACAATAAAATATGCGATGACCCCGGAAATATGCAAACATATACATATTGCTATGCATAACATGTATGGGACTAGTAACCGTGGTTGCAAACAGATGACAGGCCGGTGTAACCAGTCTGATGTATCCATCCGTGGTCCATGCAAGAACGCAGGAAGTTCGTCTGTAGAGAGAGACGGAAAAAAGAAAAGAAACCCGAACATCTGCAGTCCAATCACTCTGTTGGTGTCCAGCTGACTACTCTCTGTCTGTCTCGCGTGCGGCTGCATGTGTGTGAAGAAAAAAACCCTCTCGTTGGTGGTGCGGGTAGTCGGCCATTTGTTTTTAGATCACATCGCTCTCCAGACTAATGGTTTGAAAACGATATTCCACCAACATCTTTCTTCCCACACTGGCGATTACCCCATCGGGACTGCCCGTGGTTTCCTTGTGTCTGTACTCGGCGGGGTACAGATCTTACAGACCTCTGAAGGGCTTACGCAGATTCAGATGTCAACTATGTTGCTGTTGTTGTTGTCTTCACATTAAAAACCGTTTCGTTCTCTCTGCCCAGTACCCTCTTCTGTCCTACCACTAGTCTAACACTTGACGGGGTCGATTCCCGTGGTTACAGGCTAAATTACTACCTGAAGAAGGTATACGAAAATAAAATGGACCCGCAGGGTCCCCAAGCCAATAAAAGTCAAGGACACATAGTCTAGGCCACTCCGCTCGCCTCCACACGCTATGCGAGGTAACTCTAGATTGGAAAAAGATTAATAAAAAAAGAAAAAGACTACGGGAAAGACATGTAGATAGCCTTCGGTCCACCGTGGTTTGCGTCCTGCTCATGTCTGTCTGTCAGACTCTCATACAAGGAACGTGAGTCTCTGAAATAAGGAACCTGAGTCACTTCTATTTGCAACACCCTCTCGACAAGAGTCCGCTAGATTTATCACGCAGTGCACGCGCTGTCACCCCAGACACGACAGGTCTTCTACCTCTGACCTTTTCCGCACACAATCGGTTCTGTCTGTACCGTACCCCGACCTCAAACCTCCGACAACACGTCGGGGATTGGCATATTCTAAATTTTTCCCACCGCCACTTCCATTTTCAAGCAGTACAACTTCCACCTCGGGAAAAAAGAGAGATAAAAAGGCTTCAGTTGAGGCCGGGGCTACCCCCGGGCTGTTATGGTAATAAAGGTCGAATTAGCAACAGCCCTCTTCTTTTCATTACCGCAGTCACCATCAAAATGAGAGCTAGCGACGCAAAGGTAGGGAGCCTATGGCGTATATGATGTCTACAGTGTCGCGCGTGTATACGAGAGCTGGTTTGAGAAGAAAGAACAAGAGTCGAACGCCTCTGGCCTCTGTTTGTCACGATGGTTGGTACTCGTGCTTGGTATTCCCGACATGGTGCTAGCCGGTACACGATGTAGTCAAAATAGTACCTCTGGGCAACGGCACCACCACTGTCGGCATTCTGCGCGTGTGTTTATGTTGCATGTATGTGTACAGTAGTAGAGGGAGACTGTGCGCGCGTGTGCGTACAGAGCGCGACAGAGACAGAACGTAGCCATGAATGAAGTGAATGGAGAATATTTGTAGTGTGTGGTCAACNAGGGAGACTGTGCGCGCGTGTGCGTACAGAGCGCGACAGAGACAGAACGTGATTCATGGGCAATGCAAGCCATGAATGAAGTGAATGGAGAATATTTCTAGTGTGTGGTCAAAACATAGGTAGCAGCAGTTCACGGTGGGAAGCCGTCCTTTGGATATCTGCATGTCTATCATATGGAAGAATAGGGTTTCTATCTATTTGTTTGGCATATTGGTAAGAGAGAGCTTGATGGAAAGAGAGGGACTCGTGTAAAGACGACACGTTGTTCACCATCTATCACCAAGAAGGTGAATCGACCAGCCCCCCGAGGCCACGTGGGAAAGAATTCTGGTCTTATAGCCCTTCCTCCCTGATTTCTGGCTTGTCTACAAAGCACATCAGCAGCAAGGAGTCCGAAAGACATCATGAGATCCACGAACGGCAAAAAATGCCCATGGAATTTGCATACCACATCTTCCCAAGTCGCAAAATCCAGTCGAACCGTGTTGGTCAGGGTTATTGTGCGTGTGGGTGGGGGCGAGCGGTCAAATGTTGTTGTTGTTGTTGTTGTTGTTGTTGTTGTTGTTGTTGTTGTCTTCACATTAAAAACCGTTCCGATCTCTCTCTACCCAGTACCTTCGTATGTCCGTACTGATCCAACACTCGATGCGGTCGATTCCCGTGGTCGAAGGTCAACTTACCCTGAAAAGGTACGCTTAAATAAAATGGCCTCGAGGGGTCCGGAAGTCAATAGAAATCAACCACAGATATGCTGGAGTCCTCCACTCATTCTGCACGCTATGCGAGGTAACAACTAAGACTAGGAGTCACCATCACGGGCCGGAGAGAAAGAGGTACACCCCTTGGTTCAATCTTGGTACTTCACAACGCAAGGAGAGACAAGGCCATCTGGCACAGAAAAGAGGGAAAAAAGAGAGAACGAGGTGGAAAAGAGAAAAATACAGAATAAAAGGAAACAACAAGGAAATAGATAATAAAATGTAGAAGAGCAAGGACGAAAAGGAACGAGACCGAAAATAACAAGAAACAAGAGACAGAAAAAGGCACTCGGCGGAGAGACCTCTAACGAACAAGCAAAGACGCAAACATGGCCACAAAACAGCGATATATTGTAATGGTACGTCATCACTAGCGGGGGGTTGGTGCAATGGTGCAACGTTGGGGGGGGGGAATTGGCCAAAAGCAATTCAATCCAGCACGTATCGCGCCACTCGGTCCGGGTCTTCTCGTTTATTTTTTTCCGTCGTCGTCTCGTCCGTTTCCTGCCCCCCTCCTGCCCCGTTGGTTATTGGCTTGTGGCTTCGTTTGAGCGCCCGTCGTCGGCTGGCCTCTTCTTCCTTCTCGTGCCAGGAGGTTATGAACCTCCCAGCTCCCTGCAGCACCGCCGCATGCCAGGGTACTCCCCCCTCCACCTTCGCGGCTTCCGTCCACTTTAACTTCGGTGCCGTGTCTTTCGGTACCGGGATTCCGAGCCAACATGGATCGGTTTTTGTACATACGTGGTCGGCCCCGAATGCCTTCAGGTCGTGGAGCACACACTTCGGCCAGTTCTGTTCCTGTCCCCTCCTACCTCGCTTCCCCCCTCCCGCCAGTTCGCCAAGCATCAGTTGTTTCGGGAGTCACCCGTCCAGCTGCCTTGCCAATGCTCCGGCCAGCAGTAGGCGTCGTTGTCGGATCGTGGCTTCAACGCTCTGGCATTTGACCCTCTTCAGCATTTGGGTGTAAGAAAGCTGCCGGTAGGTGTCTTCTTGCGCTTGTACCCGATAACTCGAAGGAGCAGTCGGTGGTGTATCGACCGCAGCGTCGAATTGTGGTCGCTGAGTGGTGATCATGTCATGCAGCCGTACAGCAGTGCCTCCATCGCCTCCGCCTGGAGCAGGCGGACCTTGAGTCGGAATGGTGCTTGCGGTCTGTCGAAGAGCTCCCGGCCATATCGCCTGAGGCACGCTCACGCTCCTCTGCTCCTGTAGTTGATCTCCCGGGTGAGGTCGCCATGTTCGTTGACGAGGCCACCGAGGTACCGGAACTCGGTCGTCTGGGCGTATTTCTGTCCCGCGGCTTCGATGGTCAGTGGTGGAGGCAAGGCGAGCTGTGATGTTGTAGTCGGCTTGTATTTTGCGCGCATCAGGAGCGTCTCCGTCTTCTTCTCCTACACCGTTAGCCTGAACTCCCCGAACACCTCAACGATGATGTTCATCATTTTCGCCAGTCCTTCTGCAGACCTCGATACGACGCCGGCATCATCGGCATACAGCATAACCCATACTGCCCTCCGTGCTCTGTCAAGGGGTGTCTCCTCGCCCCCCCCCGCTTCCGTCTTCCCCTCCTCCAAGCATACCAGGCTCCGCAAAACAACATCATCCTCGCTGAATCAGATGACAACGAACTCGAGGACCTCGGCGAAGAAGATGTTGAACAGCAGTGGGGATAACACACATCCTTGTCGCACGCCCTGAGTCACGAAGAACCAGTCGGATAGTTCTCCGTCGTCTATGCGCACCTGGGCCCGCATTCCATCGTGAAACTGGCGGATGACTTCGATCAGCTTCGCGGGAATCCCGGCCCTAGCCAGCACCTCCCATAGCATCTCTCGGTCCACCGAATCATACGCCTTGTTCAAGTCGACGAAGCACATGTAGAGCGGTGTTTTCGTTCTCCGCTCCAGCTCCTGGAGGCGGTGCACGACGAACAGCATGTCGACGGTGGATCGCCCGGGTCGAAATTCGCATTGTTTCTCCAGGAGGATGTTGTTGGCTTTGCAGAAGGCGCTTAGACGGTTGGTGATGATCTTGATGGGGACCTTGTCTATGTGAGATAGTAGGAAAACCCCCCTGTAGTTGTTACAGTTGGACCGGTCACCCTGCTTGTACGGCACCTTGATGGTTGCATCCTTCCACTCTCGCGGGATATCTCCTCCGTTCCGCACCTTGACGAGGATGGTATGGAGGTGTCCCAGGACGAAGGGTTCGTCGTTATCGATCATTAGCAACTCGGCAGGGAGGGAGTCATGGCTGGGTGCCTTCCAGTTCCTGAGGCCTTTCGTGGCCCGTGCCACCTCCTCGAGTTCTGGCACATCTCCCAACCGTTGAGTGTCACGTGTCGCTGGCCGCTGCGTCGCTCGTTCGATGATGTGTGGGTTCAGGGTTGGTTATTTAGTGTTGAATAGGGTGCTGAAGAATCTCGCCCACCGCTGGATGATGCCGTCCCTGTTCCGGAGCAACACGCCGTTCTTATCCGCGGTGAACTGCTGCCCCCCCGCTTGTCTCCCGCTGAGGCCCACTGATCTCTTGAGGTGTTGGTACAGTCCTCGCATGTCGCGATCTTCGTAGCTTACTTCGAAGTCAGTGACATATCCGTCCAGGTGGGCATAAGTTCCCGACTGCCGTAGCCACTCTCTTACACACTGCTTTGAGAACTCTCCATGTTGCTGAGTTCTACTTGCCCCTCATCGCCCGGCGCGTTTCCCGACGTTTGACAAGGGCCTGCTCCAGCGCTGCTCGCGTCTCTGGGGTCTCACACCACTCCTGCGTGCGGCGTCTCCGCGGTTCCTCCCCCAGGGTCGTCCGCGCTGCTTCGAGGAGAGCATTGGTAAAGTCGGTCGCCATTTTCGTGGCGGTGGTTGTTTGCTCGTCCAGTCGTGTGTCAAGCAAGGTTGAGGAGAACCCGATGGGTCACCGCACACCGTGCTGCTTCGAGCTGCAATTCCCGTCGGTTGAATTGCTTCTGTTTCGGTTTAGTCCGTACTGCACGGTTGTGGGCAAGCCTGCCACCGAGATTGACGGTGGCCACTACCATACTATGGTCTGAGTCTGTTTTGAATGGGCGAACCGGCTGGGGGATGATAACCACGTTATATACTCGGCCGTGATGTGCCTGCCTTATCAGGATATGCTCAAGGCGCTTGCAATCGTTTCCCGACACACCGTTGTATGTGTGCCATATTCCGCCCTTGCGTGTCTCAAAGGACGTGTTCAAGAGAGCTAGCCTGTTTCCCGTTGTGAAGTTCAACAGTAGCATGTCATTGTCGTTGAGCTCATCACCCCCGTACATTCCTATTACCCTTCCGTCCCCTCCGTCCAACCTATCTCCCGTCCGCGCGTTGGTGTCCAGTAGGACATACACACATTCTTTGGAAGGGATTCTCCGCACGAGACTGGCAAGTTTTGCCCAGAACACGCGCTTGCTGTCGGCGGTTGAAGGTTTGGTTGGAGCATACGCGGCTACGAAGTTGACCGCTCCACGGTGGCCTGCCAACAGAAACCTCATGGCCATAAGGCGGTTGTCGATAAACTTCGTCGCACACAAACTGCAGTCCTACTCGAGATTTTGCCGCACTTTTTGGATGCAACTAGCTCACCAGAGCAATGGTGTGAATCACAGTCAAATTAGCGACGCGAAAACACCGCAAGATAAAGCATCTCTCCTCAAATGGCAATATACAGCGTCCCAGATTCCCCCCTGGTGCAGTGCAGAACCACCCACTACAGCTCCGTAAGGGCGCTCAAAGATGCAACAGATACGCCTTCAGAGCCCGCTCCTTGACGCATATTTGATGTAGTTTTCTCCGCCACTTGAACGCTCGAAACAATTTCTGAATCAACAAACAGCTCACGGCTGCCCAATCGACCTGAATTCGTGAGAATTATAGAAAAGCGAGCCATATGTCCCTCGTTGACCTCCTAGGGCAGCCTTCCCAGGGTTTGAGGGGGAGGGCTTTGCCCCTTAGCCCCCACAGAAGGGGCTAGAAGGGAAGACAAGAGAGGAGCGAATAATGTCTTTAGACGTCATAAGAGGCCACCCGGTTGGGTCACAAAGGGGGTACCATCATCATCTCCAACTACCATATCTGGGCTATAGCTAAGCCCTGTCCACACACCTCCGTCATCTTGAGTTCCGGCACATATCTTGCTCGCTCCACGTTGTGCCATCTTTCCTCAATTGTAGTGGTGATGCCGGGTGTCAGTCGACCCTTCTTCTCGTGTACCTCCCCCCTCCTCCCCTTCCCCCCACTTGGTTTTTTCAGACTTCTTTCCAGCTCCTTTGCTGTCGCTTCTTTCATCACGAGGTGTGGTGGATCTCCCTGCCTCCGTAGTTGAAGGACCCAGACCGTGGATCCAAAGCTAGCAGACACGCCTGAAATCAGGTAGGACGTATGTAGGACCACAACCCCCCCCCCATTGCCTTGGGGGGCTGGTCGATTCATCCCCTTAGTGATGGCCAACAGCAGTGCATTATTATTGACGAGGCTCTCTCTCCTCTCTCCATCTTTCTCACGTAGCGAATCAACATCGAACTAGTCAGAACGAACCCCTAATCTACCATTATCCTAGACATGCAGATATCCAAAGGCGGGCTCCCCACCGTGAGCTACTGCTACCTACGTGGCATTGGACCTTGAAACTGGGTCTGAGTAAGGAGGGCAACCGTCAATTGACGCCCGAAAGATTATATCCGACAACTCGTTTGCAGGAGCTGGTAGTATATCCTCCTCAGCTACTGGCAGTGATCACGGCGCGGGACCCACGTCATACATCAATACAGTAGAGCCTCCACCCCTTCCGTTTCAGAATCTGGACTTCGTATGTAGTCTCGACGGCTCTGCCGGCCTGCCGAAGAGCTCCCGGGAGCCCTTTTGAATACATGCCTATTCGGCTCTGCTCCGGTGGTTGATCTCCAGCCTGAGCTCACCATGTTCTCTGACAAGGCCACCAGACATCGAAATCCGCGGCCATGGCGTACTTCCACTCTGCCGCGTGAATCACCAGTGGTGCCTGGGGTGATTGGAGTGGCGCCTCAGTCGTTGACTTTTTCCTTTTCCGGTGCCCGCATCAAGGAGCTCTGTCTTCTTCTCTAGCACTGTCAGACAAAAAGGTCCACAAACATTTTCAAGACGATGGTCATCATTCTTGCCAGCCTTTCAAACAATCTCGATGCGAATCCAACGTCGTTGACGTATATAATTCCCCAAACGCCTTTTCTATTTTCTCCACTGGTAGTTTATTGTCCTCGTCATCTCCCTACGATTCTCCTCGAGGAATGCCGGATCTCTAAGGATGATGACGTCTTCGCTGACTTTACGGACAGTAGTGAACTTCGCTGATATCCCAGGCGTGGCATCTCCCAGGGTGAAAGGGAGGCCGTCCAACCACCCCCGTAGAGAGGCAGTGAGATATTCATCAATTTACGTGGGTATCACACCTCCCGAGGTCGACGCAAGATGACGTGCCCGAAGAGCGTTTCGTGTAGCGTAATGGGCGTAGGTGCGCTCGAATGCCAGTATAAAGCATGACGTATATGTCGGAGCCAGCTTGGGTGGACAGCAAATTGCTAAGGAAAACAATGAAAGGGGCGAGCTGGTTGTTCGGAAATATTTCTCTCGCGATTGTGGATTTTCATCACTTAAATATGGAACTGAATCTGATACAAAATCGCCCGCAGAGGTGAGAGCGCGCGCTCCGAAAAAACATCGTGATCGACACTGCGAATGGTGGTGCAAACAACACCCAACTCGTCACCGGGCGCCCGCCTCCGGCGTCCTCCCCCACAACGATATCTCCGAACGTCAATCGCTGCGGGGGTGGCCCGTCCGGTTGTCTGGCTAATACTCAAGCAATGAGTTGCTGGTCTCACCCCCACCCAGGTTGCGCCGTGTTGATGTTTTCCGATGCGTCCGATGAGCAATGTGGGGATTTTCTCAACCAAGTGCCCCAAGAGTAGCTGGACCTTAACGCCCCGGTGGAGGATATGGCTCATGAGCCGAAGGGATTTCTGAGCGGCACACGCAAGGGTGCGCAGCAGCGGTGGGCCACGGTGGACAAGGAAGGGTACGCGAAGCAAAAAATAACAGCAATACGCAAGTGATGGACGACCACACGAGACTAATGAAGGCGGAACGCCCGCAAATGAAAAACCTACGCGGTGTATCAACGACGAACATACCGCAAACAGCGTGCAACGAAATGATTTACCACACGCAGGGAACAAGAAATTAGAAACTACAAACATCGAAGCAACGCTAAAAACCGTTACAAGGCGCTTCCAGGGTTGAGTTGAAGACCTCGAAGCACAAACATACACGGCGCAACGACCGGCATGACCGTCAACCAAGCCAATACCACGGAAATCGAAACACACGCAGCTCGCAAAAAAAGGCCAACACGATCTCAAAAGGTGAACTCCACGCAATGCAATCAATCAAGTACAACCCTCGGACTACGCAAGACATTTCCCACGCGGTCGACAATGATTCACCTAATACATGCAAGATTCAGACATGCCATAACCAAATCAATGCGCGAGATGCTGAGAGAGTACACAAAAAGCCGTCAGCGAAGAAATGCCATCAATACTCGACAAGATAGCCTTCACTCGACTTAATCAAATAGAGCACAAATGCGAAAGAAGCCAGCGAAGAAATGCCATCAATACGCAGACAAGACGACCCTCGCTCGACTCAAACGAATCACTTACAAGCCAATGCTGTGTTGCTTCAACTGAGTCCGAACCGTTTCCGGCAGACCCAGCTGCCACAGCTCGGATTTGACAAAGTGCGGCGAGGCATCTCAGATCTTCGACAGCTCTTCCCAGATGTTCTCATCCTTATCGAAACCAACCCACTCCACTTCTACATCAAACCCAGGGCCATCTTCCGACTCGGACACGTCCACGATCGCTGCCATCTCGAACGCCCCCTGCGTGAAAGCATGCTGAAAATCGTCATTCAACTCGGCCGTGATCTCGAGAGCGGCATCGGCGTAGAACCGCAAGCGTTTGACGTGGACATCTCGAACTTCACCCCGACACATGCGTTCTGTCGGCAGAGACAATCCTCCACGGCCCCGGCCAAGTCATAAGAAGCTTCGGCGACGACCCACGCCAGCGAACGCGCGTCACCAACACGTAGTCCCCCACCACAAAGTCCGGCAGGTGCCCAACACGGGCAGACGCTCGCTGCCGACTCCGACTCGTCCGCACCTTATCCAGAAAATACTGCACCTTCTGCCGGGAAGCCTTCTCATCCAAGACGGCGACCTTCAGTTTAGCGCCGGTAGACGATACCAAGTCGAAAACGCAGTGCGCGGTGCTCTACCAGCAATGACGTGGTACGGCGTCGAACCGGAGCGTTCGCGAAAGGCAGTGTTGCACAGCTGCAACCAACAAACCCGGTCACGATTTCTCCGATTCTCCTCCTGAGTGATGGTCTTAAGCGTACGAACCATCTCGCGCATCATTCGCTCGCACGTACCTTGAACCAGGGAGAGTTGGCGACGGAAAAATTCGACTACACCGAGAGCCATCAAGTGATTTTTGATGCGGGAGACGTATCACTCACACAGACCTCCGGAATACCCAAAATCTTGCACCGTGAGGAGATGCTGCGCAGTCAGGCGGGCGGTGCACCCGTGGGCTCTAGCCAAATCCAGTTGGACATGTCGTCCATCATGACCAAAATTCACTTCAACCCGGCTTCCTTATCCAAGCCATCTTTCCCCAGCGGGCCACTCGCTCCCATGTAAGGGCAGTCAAAATGAGCATCTTCGCCAGGACTCGTTCCATGGACGGTTTCCCCAAGCGGGCGAGGCACCTCTTCCCCCGCCTTGGAGTTCATACAATGCAAACACTGCTCGACGAAGTCAGACGTGCTCTTTGAGCCGGAACCAGCAACAGTACTCGGACAACCGCTACAAGGTGGACACGGGTCCACGTTGCCCAGCTTCTTTCATGTTTGCACAAACCATCAGTCGCACCTGCAAAGCACTCGCTTGATCTATCATCCAAAGCACGTCACGTCCATTCATGTGTACGCAAAACAACACCTCACCATCCAAGGCCGCCCTCCTCACCGCCGTCGAAAACGACGTTGCAGGCCCGGCAAGTGCACCGAGCGTACCCCGCGCCGCTTGTTTTGCGTCACGTCCGACTTGCTTAGATTAGACGGCATGGCGGCATCAGCTTCACTGGGGGGCGTAAGCCGAGGAAGCACCCACACTCACCGACAGTACAGACACCCGACAGAGGGTCCCTTCAGCAATTGCGCTCGCCTGCAACGTGGCGGATGGTGTAATCGTACTGGCCTAGGACAGCTTTCCACTGGTCAAGATGCTGAGCCGTGGTTTCGGCTACTGCGGACGTGCAAGCCTCCGGGTCGAAAATGTATGCAAGATTGCGGTGATCGGTGAGTTGCATTCATTCTTCAATAGGGCTAACTCGTGAAAAAAAAAAATAAAGGTGCGGCTGGTCAAGGTCTTCGATAACTAATGCCGACCACATGTCTGAAACCGTGGACTGAATCATTTTCAATCATTTTGTACGTTTCATGGCTGGCCCAGCTTGTAAGGAACCAAGATTTGCCAAATTCCGCACACTGTATCTAGGTTTAAACTTGTCGGTGCAATCCGCAGCACCGCCCTCATAATGTGTAATCCTCGGTGCTGTACACACGCGGTAGAGACCATCCACGAGAACGAGCCCACCACTTGATAAACGGGCCACCATATTTCGATGAAGATTTCGATGAAGACCAGCTGAGCGTCAACGTGTTTATTGAACAAGAGTCGAACTTGATTGATGCCGAGGGTCTAGAGGTAGGCACGGATAAAGTTGAAAACTTGTTGTCGCATATCTGCACCGCGCTCATGCCGTGCCATGCTGCCGGCAACATTCAGTATTTATCGCGTCAGCTGCTAATCTTGCGGTTGTACAGCACCTGGGACTGTGCTGCAAGACGAACGACAGGTGGAGTACCCTTAAATAGTGTTAGCTAGATTTGAACTGAAACTGCTGTTGGGGTGCGCCTCCTCTCCTGCTGCTGTTGTTGTACCGCACACGCTTGTGCCTGTTGACTCGAGACCCTCACCAAGCAGCACAGCTCTCCTGATTCCCGAAGAAGAACGATATAAGAAGCATGGAATAGCGTCACTAACATGGCAGCTACGCTAATGGCGAGTTTGATCACTGATAACGTTGTGCTATCTTGATGTCGCACGCGGGCAACGGCCTGTCTACCTAATTATGAGGCATTTTTCCTCAACAATCAATGAACTTGCCCCCGAAGTGCCCAAACTTAGCAAACACTAAGGGCTGCTCTGCTTGCAGCACAAGTTTAATTGCTCAGATTAGCTGCGCATGAGGTCACGCTGGGGCAAAAGCAAGATTGTTTGCAGGGAGCATGAGCTCGAAAACACTTCGACCCTCTCTGTGACAACAACACGAGATAACAAGAGAGCGGGCGGCAGCCGCGTACGGGTTGATCATCAGCTTGGCTCTGGAAATCACACCGCTAAAGATACAATGCCTCGAGGCGTGAACACCTCCAACCAACCCACTGAAGTCCTCCTACGCGGTCGCCCCGGTGGTCTAGTTGGTATCCTCGAAACCTTCTAGGGGTCAGATCAGGGGTTCCAACCCCACGTAGGCGAGCGTTTAGCGGAGCGAGTTTTTCTCTCGCTTCCGCTCCTGGCCTAGTGGATAGCGCTACTTCGTGTGTACACAGAGGGAAAAGAGTGCTGAACTCTTATCGCCGAAAAAAACGGAGGCAAAGTACCGCAGGAGGGGAGGGTAGAGATGGGCTCTTCTGTGTGACCACGGGTTGGAGCAAACGGCACCAGTGCTGTGAGCGCTGATTTAAAGTGAAGCCAAAAAAGCAAAAAAAACACGCAAGTGCCAGCACCAAGTGATGCCAAGTTTGTCGCCAAACATCATCCCTATAAGAATGATACAACAAAGTACAAACGACACAGGCCCGACGTGCCCGCGTCCCGATAGGTTCCAGGCAGTTCAGTTTGCCATTTAAAGTTGAAGAAAATACCATTCCAACAAACTACGGACACCCAGCGTGGTGGCTTCCCCCCCATCCGTCTCCATATGCACCTACGAAACTTATACGCGCTGGCTGTTCAGCGAACGCATTCTGCTCCCACGCCTGGTAGTCTGCCACCCCGGGTCGTTCTCTTCGCCGGAGTCATCCGACGGAACGCAAGTGAAGAGCGGATCTGCTCAAACACAAAAAAGAACGCAATATATGGCATTGACACATAGGTTGGAATAAATCATATCACACGCACACGTAAAGGTAAGAGCAGGAAAGCAGCACCGCTTTCATGTTTTGTTGCGATGTGGAGATCTGACGTGCGAGAATGCCCGTCACGACAACCTCAACCCCAACCCAAGTCCCTTAACGAACGCCAATTGCACCTGCCGAATAAAGTAGGCAGATCTCAGTTCCAGACGTGGTTAACGAGATCCGCAACACCATCATCTATCTGTGTCTCCGTCACTCCACGCCAGGTTGACGCCCCTCTCGCCCAACCCGTCAGATTCCTCACCGCTGAGCCAGCTTCGCCCGAATTCTGCTTCATCAAGTCGTCGAGTGAACCGATCGAACCGTCGCCGTTCTCGTCCGACTCGGGATACTCGAGTCCCTCCCTTCTTCAATCCTGGGGCGTCGCTAGAGGAAACGTGTAGACAAGCCACAAATCAGGCATGGCCTAGGACCAGAATCCTCCCCCCGTGGTCTCGAGGGGGTGGTCGAATCACCTCCTTGGTGGTGGTAAACAGAGTGTATCATTTCACACGAATCTATCTCTCTCTCCTGCCGTCATGCCATCCAGACAGAAACCCTAATCTAGCATACCTTAGCCATGAAGGTAACCAAAGGGCGGCTTCCCACCGTGAACTACTGCTACCCAGGTGCACGGCGTCCGCAATGCCCCCAAAGTTTGATTAATAGACGACAATCAGCTTATTCTCAGATAGAGAGAAAACTTAAGGTTGTTTTTGTTGTTGTTGTTGCCTTCAAATTAAAAACCGTTCCGTTCTCGCTGCCGTACCTGCTTCTGTCTGTACTAGTCTAACTCCTGACGGGTTCGATTCTCGTGGTCACAGGCTAACGAAAAAAATAGACCCGAAGGACCTAACGACAGAGAGTGTAGGCTACTCCGCTCGCCTCTACACGGTTATGCGACGTAACCCTCGCTTGAAAAAAGGAATAGAACGAAAAAGATAAAGAAGAGGGCAGATGGAGAGAAGGAGAAAGACACAGACAGAGAAAGACACACAACGTAGCGATCAACTACAAACAAACCGAGCAACACAAGACAACATACACAAAACAACACAAAGCGGGCTATCCGAGCCACCAATGAACGCCATCATTCGTGGGGGGTCGGTGCAATGGTGCAGTGCCACCAACACGTAGTCCCCAACTACGAACTCAAGTAGAGTCCCCAACATGCGCAGACGCTCGGTGCTTACTCCGACTCGCCTGCAATTGACGTCGGGCCTCCACGACACGCTTCTCCTTCAGCCGCAAAGCCTTCTCATGAAGGACGTCCTTAAACCGCAGCATTCACGGAAAGCGGTGTTCAAGGCCCATTGCACAGCTGGAACCAACAAACCCGGTCACGATTTCTCCGATTCTCTTTCTGAATCATGGTCTTGATTGAGCGTACGAATCACCTCACGCATCATGCGCTCGCACGTACCGTTGGACCAGGGAGAGTTGGCGACGGAAAATTTCCGGTCAACACCAAGTGTAGTCTCAAGGACAGCCGTCATGTGGTTTTTGAAATGGGAAGCGTATCACTCACCCAAACCTCCTGCACATCCAAGACCTTGCACCGCGTCAGGAGATACTGCGCAATCAGGCGGGCGGTGCATGCCCCTGTGGGCTCCAGCCAAACACAGTTTGACATGTCGTCCATCATGATCCCAAAATGTACTTGAACCCGTCCTCCTCGTCCAAGTAATCGACCCCCAGCGGGTCGCTCTCTCCCACGTATTGATAGTTAAAATGAACAACTTTGCC